AACACGATTTTTTTTTTTTTTTGAGACAGAGTCTCACTTTGTCACCCTCAGTAGAGTACCATGGCTTCATAGCTCACAGCAACCCCAAACTCTTGGGCTTAAGCAATTCTCTTGCCCTAGCCTCCAAGTAGCTGGGAATACAGGCACCGCCACAATGCCTGGCTATTTCTTTTTTTTTTTTTGTAGTAGTTGTCATCGTTGTTTAGCAGGCCTGGGCTGGGTTCAAACGCACCAGCTCCAGTGTATGTGGCTGGTGCCCTAGCCGCTGAGCTATAGGTTCCAAGCCTAGAAACAACAGGGTTAAGGAAATTTTGAGTTTCAAAATTACGACAAATAGGGGTGGGTGTGGTGTATCAGGCCAATCTCAGCATTTTGGGAGACTAAAGTGGGAGTTCGAGGTCAGCCTGGGCAAACATAGTGAGATGCCATCTCTACAAAAAATATAAAAATTAGCTGGATGTGGTGATGTGTGCCTGTAATCCCAGCTACTCAGAAATCTGAGGCAGGAGGATTGCTTGAGTTTAGAAATTCAAGGTTGCAGCAAGCTACATATGTGACTCTCTACTTCAGCCTGGGTAATAGAGTAAGATCCTGTCTTTCTCAAAAAAAAAAAAAAAAAAAAAAAAAACCACAAGGAAAGGCTTGGCACCTGTAGCTCAGTGGCTAGGGCACCGGCCACATATACCTGAGCTGGAAGGTTCAAACCCCACCCAGGCCTGCTAAACAACAATGACAACTACAACAAAGAAATAGCCGGGAATTGTGGCAGGTGCCTGTAGTCCCAGCTACTAAGAAAGCTGATATGAAAGAATCACTTAAACCCAGGAGCTAGAGGTTACTGTGAGCAATAACACCATAGCAACTCAACCCCAGGTAAACTGAGTGAAACTTTGTCTAAAAAAAAAATATATATATATATATTCGATAATAAATTGATTCTGATAAATAGGATAATAACATAAGGGTTATTATATATTTCCAAAAGGCCTTTGTTCAAGATGTCCTGAAAAGGATGAAAAAATTTGTTTTAAAACATTTCAGTCCCCCACCCTAAAAAAGTGGAGGGGAGGGGCGGCAACTGTGGCTCAGTGGGCAGGGCGCCAGCCCCATATACCAAAGGTGGCCAGTTCAAACCTGGCCCTGGCCAAACTGCAACAAAAAAATAGCCAGGCGGGCACCTGTAATCCCAGGAGGACTGTACCCAGGAGGCTGAGGCAAGGGAATCGCCTAAGCCCAGGAGTTGGAGGTTGCTGTGAGCTGTGTGACGCCACAGCACTCTACCATGGGCGATAACGTGAAACTCTGTCTCTACAAAAAATAAAAAAATAAGAAAATGGAGGGGAGAAGGGATAGATGATCCAAGACTGGATAAACACTGAAAACTGCTGAAACTAAGTGATGGATGCACAAGGTTCACTATATTGCCTTCTTTATTTTTGCATAATTGAAAATATCTATAATAAAGAGCTTAAAAATATGTAGCAGAAGACCCAAGTAAAGGGTCATTAAAGATATAAGTAACTGCAAGGTGTACTATAGGCTTATAAAAATACAGAAAAATGCCACCTAACAAGTAATACAAATTAAAGCTACAAATCAGATACCATTTTCATCAATCACACAACGGTCAAAACATGTCCTTAAGGTTTGACATGGTGGCTCACACTGGTAATACCAGTACCACCACTTTGGGAGGCTAAGCCAGGAAGATGACTTGAGGCAGGGGCCATTATTATAGACCAGGCTGGGCAACATACCAAGATGCCCTCTCTACAAAAAAGCTTTTTTTCTTTTGAGACAGAGTCTCAAGCTGTCACGCTGGGTAGGGTGCTATAGTATCACAGCTCACAGCAACCTCAAACTCTTGGGCTTAAGCAATTCTCTTGCCTCAGCCTCCCAAGTAACTGGGACTACAGGTGCCTGCCACAACGCCTGGCTATTTTTTGTTGCAGTTGTCATTGTTGTTTAGCAGGCCTGGAATGGGTTCGAACCCAACAGCCTTAGTGTATGTGGCCAATGCTCTACCCACTGAGCCATAGGTGCCCCTCTATAAAAAGCTTTTAAAACAGCCAAGCACGGTGGCATACCTGTAGTTTCAGCTACTTGAGGAGCTGAAGCAGGAGGATTTTGTGAGCCCAGGAGTTCCAGGCCACTACCATAGCACCACTGTATTCCAGCCTGGGTAACACAGCAAGACCCTATCACAAACATACCCCCCAAAAAGAGTGCTAATACGTGTGTGTGTGTGTGTGTGTGTGTGTGTAGCTTACACGGATGGTGAGCATAAGTAAGTACAACTTCTTTGGACGGTAATCTAGCTTTATGTTCCAAAATTATAAACGCACACCCCTTGACCCAGCAATTCCCCTTCTAAGAATTTATTCTATAGTATTTGTTCATTCAAAAAGTATTTTCTACCACCTACTACGTGTCAGGCACTGGAGATGCAGAGGGAGAGAACATTTTGAGAGAACATGTTTCATGGTGCTTCCATTCTTGTACAGGAGACACAGGTAAACAAATCGACAAGTAGGCATGCAGTAATTATAATGTCATGTGAGTGATAAGGTAAACTGAACAGGCTGGTCTGAGAAGATGACAGCCCAGCAGAGCCTGAGTGAAGGAGAGAACAGAGCACTCCAATGTCTGGGGGAAAGGCCAGGGCAGTGGCTCACGCCTATTAATCCTAACACTCTGGGAGGCCGAAGCAGGTGGATTGCCTGAACTCAGGAGTTCTAGACTAGCTTGAGTAAGAGGGAGACCCCATCTCTAAAAATAACTGGGAGTTGTGGCAGGCACCTATAGTCACTGCTGCTTAGGAGGCTGAGGCAAGAGACTCACTTGAGCCCAAGAATTAGAGGTTGCTGGCTCGGCGCCTGTGGCTCAAGTGGCTAAGGCACCAGCCATATACACCTAAAGTGGTGGGTTCGAATCCAGCCCAGGCCTGCCAAACAACAATGACAGCTGCAACCAAAAAATAGCCAAGCTGTTGTGGTGGGTGCCTGTGGTCCCAGCTACTTAGGAGGCTGAGGCAGGAGACTCGCTTGAGCCCAGGAGTTGGAGGTTGCTGTGAGCTATGATGCCACTGCACTCTACCCAGGGGCACAGCTTGAGGTTTTGTCTCAAAAAAAAAAAAAAGTTAGAGGTTGCTATTGGCTGTGACACCACGACACTCCACTGAGGGTGACAAAGTGAGACTCTGTCTCAGGAAAAAAAAAAAAAAAAAGAATGTCTGGGGGAGGGTAACACAAATGTGGCCTTCCTTCCCTCGATTTTGCTTTTATTTCCCTAACAGCCATTAGTTTATCCAAAAGATATGGGTACCACTTAAATGTCTCTCTGTTCCCTGACAGAAAAACAAAAACCAGTCAGGTCATTTTAATTCAGTAAAATAACTGTACATAACAGCATGATATTTGGGGGCAGCACCTATAGCTCAGTGGGTAGGGCACTGGCTACATACACCAAGAGTGGCAGGCTCAATCTCGGGCTAGCTAAAACAACGACAGCTGGGGAACTGTGGTGGGTGCCTATCGCCCCAGCTAATTGGGAGACTGAGACAAGAGAATCACTTAAGCCCAAGAGTTTGAGGTTGCTGTGAGCTGTGATACCATAGCACTCTATTCAGGATAACAGCTTGAGACTCTGTCCCCCACTCTCCCCAAAAATATGATATTTTCAAAGAAAGAATTTTCTAATTTATCTAAACATTATGTGAAGCCTGTTAAGTGGACTAAAATTAATCATGAGTTTTTACTGCAGATAAACCTTTTCACAGCAAAGAAAAGATTAGTCTCACAAAAAGATATTATAATTTTACATACACACAAAAACAGAACTGCCCCTGCCCTTCTGGTCTAAATGAGAACTATTGTCTTAAAAGCATCCATACTTTAATTTCATGATCTTCTAAGCAAGGAAGCTAACATTTTTATTTTAGGGTCCATTTGCATAAATATTTTACACTGAAGTGGCCAGCGTCAATTAAAGGCATTCCAGTCGAGCCCAAAAGAAATGACTCTGCTACAACACCTGGGAACATAATGGGTACTAACTTTTCAGACAACACCATGAAATACTAAGGCTTCAAAATTGCCACGAATATGTTCTACAAACAGATGGATAATAAAGAAGCCAGCAGATAGGAAGAAAAATTTGTCCCTGTCAAATGTGCTCCTATCTCAATTCTTTAGATCAAAAGGGAGACCGCAAATAACCAAATGACTTCCGGACTCCACGGGTGATTCCCAAGGAGACGAACTCACGTGGGTAGATTTCAAGCGCCACAGCCACTGCACAGCGAACGACAGTTGAGGATGCGCTGCATCCTTCCTTCCCCGTGGACACTGCAGCCCATTTAACCCTCGCCCGAAGGGCAGTTCACAGCGACAACGCTGCTTTCCAGACTACCAGTCGGCCGAGGAACAGACCGGGGAAGCAGTGAGCGTCCCCGCACGCAGACCCGCTCACGGGGCGCTAGGTTTGGGGCCCAAAGCGAAACGGGAGACCCCAACAGGCCCAGTGCTCCCAGGGCCTCCCCCGCCTCCCCAGTCTCCCCAGTCTCAGGTGCCGGGCGTCCGGAGACCTCCCCAAGGACTCCCCACCCCCTCACCCCCGCTCCTACGCGAGGTCACGACTTGCCGGCCTCCCCAAACCCCCTGCTGAAGGCGTCCCCACCAGAGAAAGCGTAGGGATGGGAGGCTGGGGCGGGAGTGCTGGGCCCGTGAGGAGGGGTGCAGAGGCCAGAAGAGGACGCCAGGGCGGCGAGGGGCCAGGAAGGGTGCAGCGCGGGGGCTGGGCCCCAGGAGAGGCAGGGGGAGACTGGGGGCTATGCGCGGGCCGTGGAAGGGAAGCGGTCCCGAGAAGGGGCAGAGGCCGCGGCCGGGGGACCTGCGGCGTCCCCCAGCAGGCTAACTGGGGGAGCAGGACGTGCGGGGGCTTTCCGCTGGCCGCACCTGCAGGCCAGGTGAGGGCTGTCCTTCTCCCCGCGCGCGTCTCACCTGCCCAGCGTCCGCTTCATGCCCCCGTCGGCCGCGCAGCGCGGCTCAGCCGGCCCCTTGCCCGCCAGGCGCAGGTTCTGCTTCAGGCGGCAGTCGCCGTCCAGCGCCGCTGCGGCCAAGCCCGGGGAGGACGAGCCCGAGGCGGCGCAGCGCTCATGCTCCAAGGTGACGGGCTCGGTCCGCTTCCTCATGCCGCGGCCGACAGGATGCTCGCTGGCCTCGCCCGCCCGCCTGCGCCACAGTCGCCGCCGCTCACAGCCCCCGCCGCGCGGAGCCGGGAGCCCGGAGCCCGCCGCCTGCCGCTCCTTACATCCCAGCCCCAGGATCCGTCGCCCGCTACGCCCAGCGCGGGGGGAGGGTAGGCCGCGCCCGACCAATCAGCGCTGGGATTCTGCCAGCCCCGCCCCCGACACCTCCCGCAGGCCACGCCCCGGCTGCTTCTCGCCAGCTCTGCCGGGAGCTCACTCGGCCGCGCAGGCGCGGGCCGTAGCCATCACGGAGGAGGTCTCGGGAAGCTGGGCTGCTGGGTGGGCTTTGCGGGGTCGGAGGGCCGTCCCGGGGCTGGCGGCTTCCTGCGCCCGGCGCTGGATGTCGTGAGCATATCCGTCGCCTCCCACCGCAGTGGCCAGATGGGCGAGAACACAGGGGAGGCCACAGAGGAGCCGCCCTCTGAGCGAGAGCCGCTCCCAGCCGGAGCTCCTGGCTATCCCAACATTGCAGACCAGGAGCAGCCTCGGGAGCTGTTCATTCATAGGAACAGAATGAGGAGGACAGCCCACTCTCCCACGCGAGGTCACGACTTGCTGGCCTTTCCAAACCATTCCTGGGGAATGGTTTATGAATTTTACAATTAGGACTGTACTTGCAAAAAATGCTTTCAGGTATCTAACTTCTAATTTAAAACACATGTGTAGGTATTCAGTTTTTAAAAGTGAACTGTGCGGCTCGGCGCCTGTGGCTCAACCGGCTAAGGCGCCAGCCACGTACACCTAAGGTGGCGGGTTCGAATCCCCAGCCCGGGCCCGCCAAACAACAATGGCTGCAACCAAAAAATGGCCAGGCGTTGTGGCAGGCGCCTGTGGTCCCAGCTACTTGGGAGGCTGAGGCAGGAGACTCGCTTGGGCCCAGGAGTTGGAGGTTGCTGTGAGCGTGATGCCACTGCACTCTACCCAGGGGGATAGCTTGAGGCTCTGTCTCAAAAAAAAAAAAAAAAGTGAACTGTGGAAGCAGTTTTTAAAAACTTGTATTTGTTTTTAGTTTTAGTTTAGTTTTGTTTTGTTTTTTGAGACAGCCTCAAGCTGTCACCCTGGGTAGATGCTATGGCATCATAGCTCACAGCAACCTCTTGGGCTCAAGCGATTCTTCTGCCTCCACCTCCCAAGTAGCTGTTACTATAGGCGCCCGCCATAACGCGTGGCTATTTTTTGGTTGCAGCCGTCGTTGTAGTTTGGTGAGCCCGGGCTGGATTCCAACCCGCCAGCTTAGGTGTATGTGGCTGGTGCCTTTAGCCACTTGAACCACAGGCGTCGAGCCAGATTTTAGTTTTTATAAAATAATTAGAATTATTTAATGGGGAAAATTCCATTTCAAACGTGTATTCCTACACGAGAAAACTAAATTAAACACTTTGAACCCATCCTAAAAAAAAGAGTAAAGAGCAGTTTCGCCAGTTTAGGTTTGGTCCCTTTCCCTGCCTAGGCCTGCGGCATTTTTGCTGCCTTGCAAACCTGGGCCTTCAGTCTGGGTCCACTTGAGAGGGGCTGAAGGAAGGCAGGGGGGCACCAGAGGGTAGGAAGGAGGAAGGCCCCTATAGTTGTATAGCTTTGGCCTTATTTAATATAGCATTAATTTTACAGATGACCTACCAACAAGAGATATATCTGCTTACTTATTCCAGAGCAGCTTTTGCAATTTCAACATTTGTGTCAGTTTGAAAACTTAGCAACTGATAAGGTCAATTGGAAATGACATTAGAAATTCCATGTTTCCTTATATTAGTTTTGTAACTGTAGTTTGCAATTACAAAGAAATTTCTTTGACCATATTACGAAGTATCACGAGCTGCATTCATATATATATTTATATTTATATTTATTTATTTTTGCAGTTTTTGGCCCAGGGCTGGGTTTGAACTCACCACCTCTGGCATCTGCCCTACTCCTTTGAGTCACAGGTGCCACCCATCATATTTTATATGTTCATATACATTTAACATATAGGAAGGAGATTGGGGGTGCAGAAAATAAAATATAAAAAAATGTTTGACCCTATCACTCACAAAATAATCCTTTTTTTAATTTTTGAGAACTTTCTCATTGTTGCCCCAGACTAGAGTGTCATAGCACTATAGCTCACTGCTACCTCAAACTCCTGGGGTCAAACTATCCTTTTGCCTCAGCCTCCTGAGTAGCTGGGGCTACAGGCACCCAACATGATACCCTGCTAATTTTTCTACTTTTAGTAGAGGCAGAGTCTTGCTCTTACTCAGACTGGTTTCTAACTCCTGAGCTCAAGCACCCAGCCACAAAATATTCTTTAACAGAAAAACAAAAAAGCAAGGAAAGGAGGGCTAGAGAAAAAGAGAAATCTGTGAGAGGTATTGACTCTTTCTTGCTGGCACTACTAGACCCTGCCCACACAGTCCTCACCTCTTGGTTATGGAGCCTGTGTATACCACCCCTGCACACTGCTGACGCCCATGTTTATATCTCTAGTCCATATCTCTTCTTGAGCCCAAGGCTCCTCTACCTAATGGCCTATTCATCTGTACTCTGATTTCTAACAGGCACCTAAATTTATTATGTTCAGAGCTGAGCTCCCAACTCTTCCCTTACCTCCAACTCCATCCATAACCTTCTCCTCTTGGGGAATGACAACTCTTTACTTCAATTCCTCAGGCCGAAATTCTGGCATCATCCTTGATTTTTCTGTCTTAAGCTATAGCATCTTTATCACCAATCTGTCAAAATCTATCCTGAACCTCAAACTCTTGGGCTCAAGTGATCCTCTGGCCTCAGCCTCATGAGCAGTTAGGACTACAGGCGTGAGCCACCATGCCTGGATAGTTCTTCTATTTTTAGTAGAGATAGGGGTCTCACTCTTGCTGGGGTTGGTCTGAAACTCCACTGGCCTTGGCCTCTCCGAGTGTTAGGATTACAGGTGTGAATGACTGTGCCAGGCCACCTTCGCACTTTGATTCCTGTTGCCTGAAATTTTTGCCCTTCCCTAAAGCACATAACCACATGGCTTATTTCCTCCTCACTTCAGATCTGTGCCTTCTCGGAACACTTGAACTCAAAACTCTCAGACTCGGTTTCATTCACTCTGTTCACCTTCCTTGCTTTATTCTTCTGAGTGCTTATAACCACTTTATCTGTGTATTGCTGTTTTCCTACCCTGGAACATAAGACTCTGAGACAAATGACTTTAACTCTATTTCATTGTCTCTGGACCAATACCTGACTCCTAGCAGACACTTCACAAATATTTTCAAAAACAGTGAATCATCACAACTCCTCAGAGGTAGTGCTGCTGTCCCCATTTTACAGGTAAGGAAGTGAGTCTCAGGGTTTTTAAAAGACTTTGCATCTGGTTTGAAAATAAAAAGGTTTATGGCTGAGGAAGTTTGTGGATACTGGTCTTTGAACCATGATCCTGCAATATACAATTGTGTATTACTGCCTCCCGGGTCTCTACTGTATCCTTATAAAAGAGCAACATAGGTTCTAAGGTTAGCTGGAATAAATCCAATATTGCTTTTTAGAAATTAATTTTGCTTTTTAGGCGGCTTTGGGGCTCATACTTGTAATGCCAGCATTCTGGGAAGCTGAGGTGGGTGGATCCCTTTAGCTCAGGGTTTCAAGACCAGCCTGAGCAAGAGCAAGACCCTGTTTTCACTAAAAATAGAAAAACTAGCTGAGTGTTGTGGTGGGCGCTTGTAGTCCCATCTACTAAGGAGGCTGAGGGAGGAGATGGCTTGAGCCTAGGAATTTGAGGTTTCTGTGAGATATGAGGCCTTGGCCCTATAGCCAAGGCAATAGAGTAAGACTGTCACACCAAAAAAAAAAAAAAAAAAGAAGAAGAAACCAATAAGAATTGACATTGCTTTAAAATCATAGCCAGTTTCTTTAGCAATGATTTGTATCTTTGATATTATACAGGTAGGACATTTTCCTTAATTCTAGGCAAGGAAATGCCTAGTGAATCCATGTTAACCTAGAACAAATACTACAAATATTTTTAAACGACTGCTTGAAAATTAAAGGGTTGGTACCGTGGAGTTGGAAAGCCTAAGTGCAGCGTCTCATCACTTAAAGCTGTGAGACCTTGGGCAAGTTACCTAGCTTCTATTTCCTTATCTATACTAGATCTTAATAAGCACCCATAGGGTGATTGTAAATTAAATGAAATATGTATTGCAGACCAAATAAAAGATGTTTTCGCTTTAATTTCAAGCAAACAACCCGCGCTGCAAAACTGAAACGAAACGCTGCGTCATAACGTTAAAGTACATCAAGTCTCTGGGCCTTCCCTTCTTTTGAGGATAAGAACGCAAAGCTCCCCTTTGAACCAAAATGAAAATGAATGAACCAAAAGGAGAAGAAATAAAAGAAGCTGTGGGGCGTGCATTCAGCCCGCCGCACACAATCTCTAGGCCCGCGTCTCTGCGGAGGCGCTCTCCCCAGCAAGCGGGTCCTCACGCAGGTGTGTCCCCTGTAGCCGTCCCCTTTGCAGCCGAAGCTACGCAACGGAGGGAAATGTCTCTTCTCGGCAGTCGTACGCCGTATTCCGGAAGTGCCTTCCTATTGGCTAGGCCTGTTGGGCGCCAAAGCGTGGAGCGGAGGAGAGGGCTGCAGCTGCTGGACCTGGAACCGGGACGTCGGTGGCCGTTTGGGCTTAGAGCTGGCAGTTGAGAAAGCCGCGGGAACGGAACGCCTCTGCCATGTTCTGCGAAAAGGCCACAGAGTTGGTCCGCGAGCTGCACCGCGCCCCCGAAGGGCAGCTGCCGGCCTTCAATGTGAGGGGGGGCGGGGTAGACGGGTGCAGCGGGTGGGGGGCGGGGGCTTTCCCTGGAGGGTTTACCTTCTCGGTTTTTATCCTCTCCGAGGTCGGAAACAAAAATTTTGGAACGTGGCAAACAAAATCTAGGAGGGGGAAAAAAGCAGGGTGGGGGGTGGACGGCGCCTGTGGCTCAGTGGGTAGGGCGCCGGGCCCATATACCGAGGGTGGTGGGTTCGAACCCGGCCCCGGCCAAACTACAACAAAAAATAGCCGGGCGTTGTGGCGGGCGCCTGTAGTCCCGGCTACTCTGGAGGCTGAGGCAAGAGAATCGCCTGAGCCCAGGAGTTGTAGGTTGCTATGAGCTGTGATGCCACTGCACTCCACCAATGGCTACATAGTGAGCATCTGTCTCTACCAAAAAAAAAACATCCGTGGTTATATCACCTAGTGATTTGGTGAATTCCTTCCGTGCATAGCCACCTTCTGTGTTCAACTGAACATTTACTGGTTGCCTGAAAACCTAGCATTTCTTGCTCACCAGGCAGCGAAGTGTGGTGATTAAAGGCCCGGCCTCAGGAACCATACTGGGATTTTGGTTCTGCAGCAGATCTTTGAAGCAGTTACTTAGGGTTTCTGTGCTCTTAGTTTTTTCAACCAGAACTGGGGAGGAGTAATATGATCTTAGCAGCCACCTCATGGAGTGGTGAGGGCAGAGTAGGTGGGTGAACAAAGCCTGACATACAGCGAAGGGCAAGGATGGGTTAACTGTTATTTCTACTACTGTTGCTGCTGCTGCCCTTACAATTGACCTACATTATCTCTTGTCTTCATCATAATAACCCTTTGAGTTTTTTCCAGCTCTATACATGTAGGCATGGGGAAAAATTCAAGTGTCTTACCTAGGAGGGGACACAGCCAGTAAGAAGTAAAGTTAGAATTTGAACCTAGCATTCTGGCTCCAGAGCCTGCACTAAATCTGAATTTCACTACCCCTCTAATAGAGCAGGCACTGTGTGGATGCCCAGACACATTCTGCTGGGAGAGGGGGCACAAAACAGGTAACAATGAAGTGATAACCAACAAGATGTAGACACAAAGAGGAAAGGCCATTGTGAGCTGAGGTCAAAGAGGATATGTTTGAGCCTGGTCATCTTCAAGGATTAGGTCACCACTTTGAGGAGAGAGTAAGATGTCCCATTCGAGGGATGCTGCAGCTCAAAATCACATGGTCACATGTTGGAAAGGGTTACCAACAGTTATCTTCCGGGAAATTATAAAAAAGTGGCTGATAGCCTAAAAGAGTTTGACGTTCACTTGTAAAGAATTTTGGAAGCTGGTAGACGATTTTACATTTTGTGTTTTACACAAGGGAGGATAATTTTTGTGTTTTAAGGATAACTGGGCTCGATGCCTGTGGCTCAGGTGGCTGGGGCGCCAGCCACATACACCTAGGGTGGCGGGTTCAAATCCAGCCTGGGCCCGCCAAACAACAATGATGGCTGCAACCAAAAAAAATGGCCGGGCGTTGTGGCGGTTGCCTGTGGTCCCAGCTACTTGGGAGGCTGAGGTGGGAGGCTGAGGCAGGAGACTCACTTGAGCCCAGGAGTTGGAGGTTGCTGTGAGCTGTGATGCCATGACACTCTACCCAGTGGGATAGCTTGAGGCTCTGTCTCAAAAAAAAAGGGTAACTGGCAGCAACATAGGGAATGGATTGAAGACAAGAAAGAATGGGGGCAGGAGATGGCTAATAGGTGGTTGATAGACCAGATAAGAGATATGTGTGGTCCAGACTGCATCAGGTCAGTGGCACTGAGATCTGTGTCTGGGTTTTAGAGACATGAGACAAACAGGACTTGCAATTTTTCAGACAGGAGATGGGTGAATAATGAATGAGAAGGATGGATCAGGGTCCCCGGAGCATTCTCAGGTAACTGGAGGATTCTCAGGTAACTGAGTAAACATCAGAATTCAAGAGGAAGAGCGTTTTAGGGAAGGTGATGAGTTTTGTTTTAAACACAAAAGCATACCTAGTCTGGCAGGTTATTTTACAAGTGAGACGGAGCCAAGAGAAATTTGAGTCAAGTTAAGGAATTTTTTTGAACTTACAGCATATTGGAGACAGAGGCTCAACTTGAACATAGGTTTTCTGGATTCTTATTTATTTTTTAAACTTCAAAACAGCTACCTCTTTTAAAAAGTTAGAAGACTGCTCCGGCACCTGTAGCTCAACGGCTAGGGCGTCAGCCACATACACTGGAGCTGGCAGGTTTGAACCCAGCCTGGGCCTACCAAACAACAATGACAACTACAACCAAAAAATTGCCAGGCATTATGACAGGCGCCTGTATTCCCAGCTACTTGGGAGGCTGAGGCAAGAGAATTGCATAAGCCCAAGAGTTTGAGGTTGCTATGAGCTGTGATGCCACGGCACTCTACCGAGGGCGACATACAGAAACTCTGTCTCAATAAATAAATAAATACATATATAGTTAGAAGACAACGATGTGAAGCTCAGTAGAGATGCTGGAATGTAGATAAGTGAGCTCTAAAATGTGGCTCCATGCAGGAGTTGGAGAGCTAAGAACTTTAGAAGCATAGACCTATGAGGGCACAAACCCAAAGGCAAGAGACTTGTCTAAACAGATACTGGCTGAGCTGGAAGTGGAATTGGGCTCTGACTCTTGGTCTAGCTTACTTTTTCACTCAAATTTTAAGAAAAGTGCTGGTTTACCACTTTTGGGGGGATGGGGTAGGTCTTAGAAATTGTAAAATCCCTTTCTCTTCTAGGTCTTTGTCTCATTAGTGCCTTTCACTGACAGACCTATCGGCCTGAAAGACTCAGCCTGCACAGGAGGGACTCTGACTCAGCTGAGCAGGGAAGGTGGATCTGAGAGGCCCAGGACCCCTTTAAGAATGATTCTTCCAGGCAGGTGATAGCCAGTAGGTTTAGAACAGGGGCTCTGTCTTGTTGCTTTCAGAATCATACATGGTTAGATGCTGGGTTCAGCAGGTTGAAAATTGATTATCCCCTTTCTATTTGCAGAACTGGTCATTTTTTAAATTAAAAAGTACATTTTTGGCTCGGCGCCTGTGGCTCAAATGGCTAGGGCGCCAGTCACATACACCTGAGCTGGCGAGTTCGAATCCAGCCCGGGCCCACCAAAGAACAATGACGGCTGCAACCAAAAAATGGCTGGGCGTTGTGGTGGGTGCCTGTAGTCCCAGGTACTTGGGAAGCTGAGGCAGGAGACTTGCTTGAGCCCAGGAGTTGGAGGTTGCTGTGAGCTGTGGTGCCGTGACACTCTACCCAGGGGGACAGCTTGAGGCTCTGTCTCAAAAAAAAAAGTACATTTTTAAGAAAAGTACCGTGGGCTCTTAGGGGCTTACAACCTGAGGTAAGGGCACAGAATAAAGGTAATTCCCACTTTAGGCAAAAATTTATATTGAAAGTTTGTGTATTTTACAAAATTATTTTGTGGCTTTTAAAAAAATTTTTTATTTTGTGGCTTATACCTACAGATGTTAATTGCACAAGAGTTTCAACTATTCCTTAAAATAATATTTGCTGATAAAAGGAATAGTTAACCGAATTATAATTAATAAATCAGATTTTTCTTTGAGACAGAGTCTTGCTCTATTGTCCTGGGTAGAGTGCAGTGGTGTTATAGCTCACTGCAACCTCAAACTACTGGGCTCAAAGATCCTCCTGACTTACAAGTAGCTGGGACTACAGGTGCCCACCACAATGCCTGGCTTGGCTAGTTTTTCTATTTTTGGTAACGACGGAGTCTCACTCTTGCTCATGCTGGTCTCAAACTCCTGAGTGCAAGCAATTCTACCTTGGCCTTCCAGACTGCTAGGATTGTAGGTGTGAGGCACCATGCCCAGCCCCATGATATTTTTTTAATGAGGTGATGGAAGGGAAGATAGAATTCATGCTTTTTCATTAGGAATTCTCTTTTGAGCGGTGCCAAGTAGTTGATCTTGTAATTTTGCCAGAAGTATACCAAAGCATTTTTGCTAATACCTATATTTTGACTCTAAAAATAAATTGGGAAAAGTAGATGGGATCGCTTCTCTTTGGTTGTTGATAGATCTAATAGTTCTATTGTGTGATGTTTAAAGGTATCAGAATTCTAATGTTATCTTTCCAAGGGAAGATTTGCCCAAAATGGGTAGTAGAAAAACTTGTTTTGACTTTCTCTCAAGTACAAACCCCAAACACTATTCCAGGCGTCCTCAAACTATGGCCCGTGGGCCACATGCGGCCTGCCTAGGACATTTATCCAGCCCGACAGGTGTTTTCGCTACCGCTGCCTGCCCTGCTTAGCAGCCGACTCGTCCCAGGTCTGGCAGTCTGGCCCTCCAGTGGTCTGAGGGACAGTGAACTGGCCCCCTGTTTAAAAAGTTTGAGGACCCCTACGCTATTCCTTCTGTTTTCTTGGCATTAACTTTTTAATACCTTTTTTCAGTAAGTAATATTTACATATTTTTGTTATGCCTTATTGCTTCTGTAGGCTATTGATTTTCCTTTAATTTTATTGAGGCATAATTTATGTACAACAAGCTATACATTTTTGGGGTTTTGGGATTTTGACATATGTATATTTAATCTTTTTTTTTTTTGAGACAGTCTTACTGTGTTGCCCTCGGTAGAGTGCTGTGGCTCACAGTGACCTCAAACTCTTGGGCTTAAGTGATTTTCTTGTCTCAGCCTCCCAAGTAGCTGGAACTACAGGTGCCTGCCATAATGCCCGGCTATTTTTTTTTTTTGGTTTGCGTTTATTGTTTTAGCTGGCCCGGGCCAGGTTTGAACCCGCCAGCCTCTGTATGTGGGGAGTGTGTGGCTGGCGCCATGACCAGACAAATATATCTATAACCAGCATCCTGATCAAGATTTCTGTCACTCCAGGGGTGCTCTTGTCCCATTTTGTGGCCACCCACCTTTCACCTGTAGCCTTACACAACCACAAATTTGTTTTTTCTAACTACAGGTTATATTAGTCTTTTTTTTTTTGAGACAGAGCCTCAAGCTGTCGCCCTAGGTAGAGTGCTGTGGCATCACAGCTCACAGCAACCTCCAAGTCCTGGGCTCAGGCAGTTCTCCTGCCCCACCTCCCAAATACCTGAGACTACAGGTGCCTGCCACAACACCCAGCTATTTTTTGGTTGCCCCTGTCATTGTTTGGCAGGCCCAAGCTGGATTTGAACCTGCTCAGGTGTATGTGGCTGGCGCCTTAGCCGCTTGAGCCACAGGCACCAAGACTGTTTTCTTTATATACTGCTGGATTCAGTGTGCCAGGAGTTGGCAAACTTTTTCTATGGAGAGCCAGATGGAATCATGGATGTACTCGTGTCTGTCTGCTTTGCTCAGTGTAATGTTTCTGAGTTTGTCCTTATTGTTGTGTATACTGTCAGTAGTTCATTCCTTTCTGTTGTGCTTTATTTCCTGTTTTGTTTTGTTTTTAAAATATGGAATGCTTTACCAATTCACGTGTCATCCTTGTGCAGGGGCCATGCTAATCTTCTCTGTACTGTGCTGCTGAAACGAGCACTGTTCTGTTTTTTGAGACAGGATCTCAAATTCTTTGCCCAGGCTGGAGTACCGTGGCAAGGTCATAGCTCACTGCAACCTCAAATACATGGACAGAACAATCCTGCTTTAGCCTCCCAAGCAGTTGGGACTACAGGCACACACCACCATGCCTTGCTAATTTTTAAATTTTTTATAGAGATACAGTCTCACTGTGCCACTCGGGCTGGTCTCAAACTCCTAACCTCAAATGATTCTTCTGCCTCGGCCTCCAAAAGTTAGCCACTGCATCCAGCCTTTTTTTTTTTTTTTTTTTTTCACTGTGGTAAAATATACACAGTTATAAAATGTACCACATTAACCATTTAACCATACAGTGGTATTAATTATATTCACTTCATTGTATAATCATCACACCTATCCATTTCCAAAACTTCTTCATTCCTCCGAAACAGATTCTCAATCATTAAGCAGTAACTAACTCCCCAGGGCCCCCTCTTTGCAGTTCCTGGTAACCTCTTGTCTCTATGAATTTGCCTGTGCTGCATAGTTCAGATAAGTGGAATCGTACAGTAGTTGTCCTTTTCTGTTTGACATCTTTCATTCAGCGTAATGTTTTCAGGGTCTGTCCTTATTGGAGCATGTGTCAGTACTTCATCCTGTTCATGGTTGAATAATGTTCCACCGAATGGGTATACCACATTTGGTTTATCTCTTAGTTGATGGACGTTTGGGTTGTTTCCACATTTTAACTATTATGAATAATACTAAAAACATTTGTGTATAGGTTTTTGTATATGTTTTCAGTTTTCTTGAGTATATACCTAGGAGTGGAATTGCTGCATCATATGGTAATTCTGTGTTCGGCTTTTTGAGGAGTATCAGGTTTTTTCCCCAAGGATCTACCATTTTACATTCCTACCAGCAATGTGCAAGGGCTCCAGTTTCTCCACATCTTGCCAGGAGCTGTTACTATGAACATAATAGTAGGGTGGGAAAGGACTATTGCTTTTCGATAAGGTATATAAATCAAAGGTAAATACAACATAATATGGGTAGATATTGCCACAGAATTGGTGGGGGAACTTAATAAACATGTACCAATATCAATTTGTATATTCTAGGAGGATGGACTCAGACAAGTTCTGGAGGAGATGAAAGCTTTATATGAACAAAATCAGTCTGATGTGTAAGTTTGATAAGATTGATATTTTAAAACAATTTAAAAGTCAAATGTTGAAATCGGATAACCTTGCGTTAGATTTTGGATGTGATTTTTTCCTCTCCATTTGCCGTGTGCCTGATCATGCCATAGAGGCACAGACTAGAGGGGTTTGTGCTGATCTGTCCTTGGTGAACGTTTGTCGTTTGACTGATACGAGTTGAAATGAGTTAAGATAGACCTAAGAAATGACCTGGCCCAAGTAGAGTTTACTGAGGACCAGTGCTGCAGAAGGCAACGGCGTAGGTCCAGAGAGGGCTCTGGAGTGATGATGGTTTGTAGCTGAGCGTGGTAGTTGGCACAGTGCAGAATCTGGGCTGTGTGACAAAGGCCATGGGATCCTGTGACTTGGTGAGGAGTAAAACACAAAAGGGAACCAGGTGCTGGGTCAAAGTTGAGTTATTCAGACCTCAGCCTAGAGAAGTCTTTCTTTGTGACATGCAGTCTCCTCTTTGGCCTTGTTAGCTACAATGTTCTAATCAGTTATTTGGATGTAGAAATCAAGAGAATGTGCTAAGATTTGTAGGGCACACAAAATGATAGGATCATTGCCAACGGTTGTGCCATGTAACAGGAAGTCTTTACAGGTGGAATGAGGAACTGAAGCCCAGCAGGTCTGTAATAAACATAAGGCAGGCTCGGCGCCTGTGGCTCAACCGGCTAAGGCGCCAGCCACGTACACCTAAGGTGGCGGGTTCGAATCCCCAGCCCGGACCCGCCAAACAACAATGATGGCTGCAACCAAAAAATGGCCGGGCGTTGTGGCGGGCACCTGTGGTCCCAGCTACTTGGGAGGCGGAGGCAGGAGACTCGCTTGAGCCCAGGAGTTGGAGGTTGCTGTGAGCTGTGATGCCACGGCACTCTACCCAGGGGGACAGCTTGGGGCTCTGTCTCAAAAAAAAAAAAAAAAAAAAAAAAAAAACATAAGGCAAATGTAAACTCCTGCACTCAAGTCCCAAGCCACTCATTGGTCCGTCCAACAAGCAGGACTGAACAAGTTTGTGCTGGCAGGTGGCTGTGGTCTTCTAGTGGTGAACCACACAGTCAGGATTCATGTCCCTGTGGCCCCACGGTACAGAGCGGAAGACACAAGTTTGTGCTGGCAGGTGGCTGTGATCTTCCAGTGGTGAACCACACTTGTCAGGATTCATGTCCCTGTGGCCCTGCAGTACAGTGCGGATGACAGCTGCTAAATACCCATGTGCTAAGTTGGGACACATTCTGTGAAGGAAGCAGTGCGGTGCCAGGAGAGAGAAAAATGAATTGACTGTTTAGCTTAGGATAGGAATCAGGAAGTTCTCTCAAAGGAAGAGACATGTCAGGTGAGATCTGAAGGAGGGGTGGGTTTTAGTGAGGCAATTTTTGTGGTCAAAGAGCATTTTAGGCAGAGGGAACAACATGTGCAGAGTCATGAAAGAGGGTGGAAGGGTGGGGAACCCAGGAAACTGACAAAGAGAGGACTGTGGGGCAGGTGGTGGATGTGAGCTGAAAGATCATCCTGCCTGCTGTGTGGATGGCAGTTGGAGGAGCTGAGAGGAGGGGTGCTGCTGGTCATGCCGGTGACTGGAGAGGTGACCCAGGCTAGATAAAAGGTGAGCAGGGGAAGGAAGTGCTCTAGAGATGACCTGACAGGCCTCAGTCCTGTAAAGGAGTGGTTTTCCTATACTTGTTTTGTACCATTTGCAAATTCATGAGCTACCTTCCTAGTTTCTTTCTAGAGAGTATATTTTTGTTATATTTCTAGTTAAAACTATTTGTGAAAAGACATCTTTCTTAATTACTCATGTATAAATGTGAATCTTTAGAAAGCCCTCTTAATAGAGTACATTGATATTATTAGGTTGGGGCATTAATTTGTGCTATTTCCTTTTAATCCAGAGCACATTGTAAACAATATAGAGAATAAATCAGATTTCATAGAGTGGCTAAAGTGTGTAGAACACATCTGGAAGACTTGATGGGATCAGACTGTGTTTCTCCTGAATTATCAAGGTCTAGGACAGGGCCAGGTGTGGAGGAGGCGCTGCGTAAATGAATCCTGTCTATGTTCAGCTGCTTCCTTTAAAAACTCCAAAATCAATTCCTGTTCATTCTGTAACACTTATCTAATATCTAAAGACATGACTTTTTATACTGCAAAACCAAAATTTTCTCCATTGAGTGAAGAATACTGAAGTACAGTACACATACTTAGTTGAAGAGCAAAATATTTGTTAAATGAGTGAAAGACCATTTTGACCTCATTTCAACTCCCTGTATTATTACGAAGACAGACAAGTATAGAATGACATGACAGACCATAATCTTAGGAACCAAAATGTTAGGTTTGTGTCTTCTCAGCATGACAAGGGAATTCCAAAAAATGAGTAAACACAATGTTTATCATTTGGAAATTGCAGTAGAGATTAATCAGCGTGTACAAATGCAAAATACCCAATGGCTAAATGAAATGGCAAGTCATTTAGCTTGTGGCTTTTTATCTTTTGATACATTGATAGAGCTCTCAGGTTCAGGTAGTTACTATGTGCATAAGTTAACTGCTGATCATAGATGGGTGAAACCAAGCGTGTAAGTCAGTTGTCAGCGGCCTTGGAAAATTTTACTTATTCTGAAATGTACTTTTTTCCCCCCTCTTTAAATGCTCTTTATTAGGAATGAAGCAAAGTCAGCTGGACGAAGTGATTTGATACCAACCATCAAATTTCGACACTGTTCCTTGTTAAGAAACCGTCGCTGCACTGTAGCATACTTGTAAGCTCCTCAGTTTTTGCTTATGGTGCCGAGAATGCTGGAGGGTTTTCTGTGTAGTTTCCTGGTTAACAAATCTAGCTGAAATCTTAGATTTGTATCTCTCTGTATCATCATTCTACATTTTTCCTTTTTCCATTTTTAAAACTTTTCATTATGAAACACAAGTGCCTACCAAGAGTCCCAGGGAGCCTCTCTGTCAAGACACTTAGAGGTTAATAGCTTATTATTTTGCTGCATTATGCCACACTACTTCAGAGTGTCATGGTGCTTCCACTGACTACGGGAATGTTTTTAGGATTTTACTTATCTAAGAAATAGGCTCTTTGGGATCTTCTCCCCAGGGCCTGGTGTTACTGTCGTCTGGAGGAGGGGACAGCACAAGTCCCCAGTGTTTGGCCCCTTGTATCTCACAGCTGACCGTTTGCATCAGGAGCCATGTTCACTTGTGACACTCAGGTTCTTGTGAGTCCTGAGTCTCCTTGCCAGAATCACTGCCAGCCCCCCTTTTACTCTTAATGCCACTAACGCCTTCTCAGTGTCCTAGGTATGACCGGTTACTTCGCATCAGAGCACTCAGGTGGGAATATGGCAGTGTCTTGCCAAACACGCTACGATTCCACATGTCTGCTGAAGAAGTAAGTTGGCTTTGTTTAAGCTTATCAGTTTAGAAAATGCCGTTCTGGCATTGCTGTATAATATTCATTGGTATTTCTCTTTCTAATTCTTAAAAAACAAAAACAGAGTGGCCGGGTATGATGGGTCATTCCTGATATCCTAGCACTCCTGTAGTTTTTTTCTTCCTTTATTTCTTTTTTTTTTTTGAGACAGGGTCTTACTCTGTCACCCTGGGTAGAGTGCCCTGGTGTTGTAGCTCACAGCAACCTCAAACTCTTGGACTCAAGCGATCTTCCTGCCTCAGCCTCCCCAGCAGCTGGGACTACAGACACCAAAACACTTGGCTAGTTTTTCTGTTTTTTAGTAGAGATGAGGTCTTACCATCAGCTTATGCTAGTCTTTAGCTCAAGTGATCTTCCCACCTTAGCCTCCTAAGTAACTGGGAATACAGGCGCCCGCCTGGTTATTTTTAGAGTCAGAGTCTTGCTCTTGTACAGTCTGGTCTTGAACTTCTAAGCTCAAACAATCCACCTGCCTCGGCCTCCCAGAGTGCTAGGATTATAGGCATGAGCTACCATACCTGGCCTGGTATTTCTCTCTTTTTTTTTTTTTGAAGTCTCTGCTGCCCTGGGTGGAGTGCAGTGACCTCACTGTAGGTCACACAAACCTCAAACTCCTAGGGCAAGTGATCATCCTGACATAGCTTCCCAAGTAGCTGAGACTATGGGCACCTGCCGCCACACCCAGTTAATTTTTCCATTTTTAGTAGAGACAAGATCTTGCTTTGCTCAGACTGGTCTCCAACTACTGAGCTCAAGTGATCCCCCTAGAGGGCTAGGATATCAGGAATGACCCATCGTGCCTAGTCGCTCTGTTTTTGTTTTTTAACATCTCTTTTCAGCAATTTTTGGGCCTGTGTTTATTTAGTATAGAGTGTGATAGGAGTTATATGGTAGGGAGTAATTTTAAATGTTGTGTGGAAAACTATATTATTACTTTACAAAATTGTAATACTAAAGAGTGATCCATCAGTAGGTTTGAAAGATTGGCATTATTTGGGGGTTTTCCATAAATTGTGTGTATATGTACTTTCTTAGTCAATATTGCAAATTCATATTTGTAGTGAAACTCTTGACTTACCATGCACTGAGGTGCTAACCTAGCCCAGTCAGCACCTAAGGACATAGAATTGGAGTTGGGCAGGCTTGGATTCAAATCCTGGTTCTCCACTGTCTAATCTTTTTTTTTTTTTTTTTTTTTTTTTGAGAC